TTCTGTGCCTGTGTCAGGAATCAATAGCTGAGATTTTACCCTGAGTCCCACACCCACCTTACTGCAGACGTGGAAAAGTGGCTACATACTTTGGCCTCTCTCATCCATTTTTAACAGAATGTTAAGATACAAATTTACATTTGGCTAGAAGTATGGGAAAAATGAAATAAATTCTGATGAAGAGAGTGTTCAGTTTCTCAGAATAAAGACAGGACCTCGTTCATCACCTCCGTGATGGTGAACAAATAGAACTTACCTTCCGTCTTCAGCCGGCAGCCTAGGTAGTAGGCCGCTTGACTTGTAAGATGTTTATTTTTGCTCTCTCTGTATTTCTGTTCTTCATCATGATCATTTTGATCATCTGTAAACAAATTCCGAAGAGCAGGTCACATTGAGTAAATCGCACTTCACACAAGACCAAATCAGTGTCCAGTCATAGCACAAGGACGTAAAATATTCTCAATGGAAGAATGTGATATATTACGATGGGAATGTTCTCACGGGCCCTAGGTTAAGTCACCTCAGAAGTACATGAGCCTGCTTTTCAGATCCATGGGACAAACTCTCCCTCACGTAGTAGATCTTAATCATGTGTCCACTGACCTAAGTCAGTGCAAACAATTAAAACTTTTTCCCCAAAATCTTCAAAACTTGCCCTAACTACTTTCCAGAAGGGTTGCTGCAGTACTGATTTATCTCATCATATATCATGGTCAATGAATGGTTAGAGAAATGTATATAGGAGACTGGACCAACGGGTGAATTCTAACAACATTTACTTAAAAACGAATCTGTGGAGTCGGCACAGTGGCTAATGCCTGGAATCCCAGCATTTGAGGAGGCCCAGGAGGGCAGATCCCTTGACCTCAGGAATTCAAGACCAGCCTGGCCAACAGGGAGAAACCCCGCCTCTACATAAAACACAAAAATCAGCCAGGTGTGGTGGTGCCCACTGGGGATCCCAGCTAATTGGGTGGCTGACGCAACAGTGCCAGGGTATTCCCTGCTCTTGATGGTGCCAGTTACATATAACACAGGTTCTATTAGGAGCAGGGTCCCCTTTAAGCTCCTCACAGGAGGTACTGTATGCTATTGCCGTGTTTCCCCCCCATGTCCACAGAACACAGTTTTGCTTACTGGTCCTCAGCAGAAACTGGAACTGAATGGAAGTTCAGTAGCCTCAGACATTTAGACCAACAGACTAGATGCTACTTCTCTGCAGGATCTTATACTGTACAGAGTGGATTCCTGCAAACATGGATTTAGCCTCTTGCTGAGAAAAACTGGTGGTTCTGTGCCTGTGTCAGAAATCAGTAGCTAGGATTGTGACTCCAGTCCCCCACCCACCTTACTGCAGACGTGGAAAAGTTGCTAAACACTTTGGCCTCTGTCTTCCATCTTTACCAAAATGTTAAAATACCCATTTCTATTTTCCACAAGTATGGGAAAGATGAAATTAACTTTGATGAAGACAGCGGTTAGTTTCTCCAGACAAGACAGGACATTGTTCATCACTTTTCTGGAGGTGAATCTATAGAACTTACTGTATGTCTTCAGCCGGTAGTTCAGGGAGTAGTTCACCTGACTCATAGGACATCTATTTTTGCTGACTCCGACATTCGGTTTGTTATCTTCCTGCTGGGAGCAGGATTTCTCAATGCCTTCTGGAATGTTCACCTCTGTGTTTTTTCTGGTAGAAGGCCTGCCAGATGCCACCTTGCTGATGTTTGGGGCAGAACACAGAAAGCCAGGGACTGGGGAGGAGAAACCCAAACACATGATGGGTTAGAATCTGGTCACATCAAATTGGTTTAATCAGGACTGAGGGATGTCCCTGAGAGCCTTGCCTATTGATATGAAGATGTCATTTCCCCGAATTAGTCTTCTCATCTCCACTCTTGATCTTCTTAAAGTCAACTTGTCTTAGCTACTCATTTACCTTGAAGCCAGGACATAAACTTTTCTACCTTTATCTTGCTTATAAGTTCTGAAGGATCTTATATGCTACAGAGAAGATTCCTGTAAACATGATTTAGTCTCTTGCAGAGAAAAGCAGGTGGTTCAGTGCCTGTGTCAGGAATCAATAGCTGGGATGTTAACCCTAGTCTCACACCTGTCTTACTGCAGACGTGGAAAAGTTGCTAAATACTTTGCCTCTGTGTTACGTCTTTAACAAAATGTTAAAATACCCATTGCTACTTTCCTAGAAGCATGTGAAGGGTGAAATTAACTTTGAAGAAGAGAGTGTATTGCTTGTCGGAGACAAGACAGGACATTGTTCAGCACTTCCATGGTGGTGAACCTGTAGAACTTACCTTCCGTTTTCAGCCGGCAGCCCAGGTAGTAGGCCACTTGACTCATAAGAAGTTTATTTTTGTTGTCTCTACATTTCTGTTCTTCATCATGTTCTTTTCGATCTTCTGTAAACAAATTCAGAAGAGCAGGTCACATTAAGCAAATTGCACTTCACACAAGACCATGTCAGTGTCCAGTCATAGCACAAGGATGTAAAATATTCTCAGTGTAAGAATATGATATTCTGACAGGAATGTCTAAGAGGCCCTAGATTAGGTTGCCTCAGTAGTATATGAGTTTTTCAGATCCAAGGGACAAAATCTCCCTCATCTTGTAGATCTTAATCACGTATTCTCTGACCTAAGTCAGTGCAAATAATTAAAACTTTTTCCCCAAAATCTTCAAAAATTGCCCTAACTGCTTTCCACAAGCATTGCTGCAATACCGAGTTATCTCATCATATATCATGGTCAATGAATGGGTAGAGAAATTTATGTAGGAGACTGGACCAACGGACAAATTCTAACAACTTTTACTTAAAAAAGAATCCGTGGAGCCAACCCGGTGTCTCACACCTGGAATCCCAGCACTTTAGAGGGCCAAGATGGCAGATCACTTGAACGCAGGAGTTCAAGAACAGCCTGGCCAACATGGTGGAACTCTGCCTCTACTAAATATACAGAAATTAGCCAGGTGCGGTGGTGCCCACCAGGGATCCCAGCTAGTTGGGAGGCTGAGGCACCACAACCAGGGTGCTCCCTGCTCTTGATGGTGCCACTTACACATACACAGGTTCTATTAGGAGCAGGGTCCCCTTTGACCTCTTCACAGGAGGTACTGTGTGCTATCACCATGTTTCCCCCACTGTCCCCAGAACACAGCTTTGCCTACTGGACCTCAGCAGAAACCAAAACAAAATGAAAGTTCAGTAGCCTCAGACATTTTGACCAACAGACTAGATGCTACTTGTCTGCAGGATCTTATATGGTACAGGGACAATTGCTGTAAACACGGATTTAGCCTCTTGCTGAGAAAAACAGCTGGTTCTGTGCCTGTGTCAGAAATCAATAGCTGGGACCGTAACCCCAGTCCCATACCCACCTTACTGCAGATGTGGAAAAGTTGCTAAACACTTTGACTTCCGTCTTCCATCTTTACCAAAATGTTAAAATACCCATTTCTATTTACTACAAGTATAGGAAGGATGAAATTAACTTTGATGAACAGAATTGTTAGTTTTTCAAAACAAGACAAGACATCATTGATCACTTTCGTGGTGGTCAACCTATAGAACTTACTGTATGTCTTCTCCCGGTAGTTCAGGAAGTAGGCCACCTGACTCATAAGAAGTCTATTTTTGTTGGCTCTGAAATTTGGTTTGTTTTCTTCCTGCTGGGAGCAGGATTTCTCAATGCCTTCTGGAATGTTCACCTCTGTGTTTTTTCTGGAAGGAGGCCTGCCAGGTGCCACCATATTGACATTTCGGGCACGACACAGAAAGCCAGGGACTGGGGAGAAGAAAGCCAAACACACGATGGGTTAGAAACTGGTGACGTCAAATTGGTTTAATCGGGACTGAGGATGTCACTGACAGCCTCGCCTATTGATTTGAAGATGTTGTTTCCCCGTTTTACTCTTCTCATCTCCACTCTCGATCTCCTTAAAGTCAACTGGTCTTAGCTACTCAGTCACTGTGAAACCAGGATATAAACACTTCTACCTTTATCTTCCTTATAAGTTCTGAAGGATCCTATATATTAGAAAGGATTCCTGTCAACATGATTTAGCCTCTTGCTGAGAAAAACAGGTGGTTCTGTGCCTGCATCAGGAATCAATAGCTGGGATGTTAACACTAGTCCCACACCCTTCTTACTGCAGACGTGGAAAAGTTGCTAAATACCTTGGCCTCTGACTTCCATCTTTACCAAAATGTTAAAATACCCATTGCTATATCCCTAGAAGTATGGAAAGGATGAAATTAACTTTGAAGAAGAGAGTGTATCATTTCTCAGAGACAAGACAGGACATTGTTCAGCACTTCCGTGATGGTGAACCTACAGAACTAACCTTCTGTCTTCAGCCGGCAGCCGAGGTAGTAGGCCACTTGACTCATAAGAAGTTTATTTTTGCCATCTCTGCATTTCTGTTCTTCATCATGATCTTTTCGATCTTCTGTAAACAAATTCAGAAGAGCAGGTCACATTAAGCAAATCACACTTCACACAAGACCACATCAGTGTTCAGTCATACCACAAGGACTTAAAATATCCTAGGTGTAAGAATGTGATATTCTCACGGGAATGTTCTAACAGGCCCTAGACTAAGTGGCCCTAGAAGTAGATGAGCCGCTTTTCAGATCCATGGGACAAACCCTCCATCTTCTGGTAGATCTTAATCACATATCCTCTGACCTAAGTCAGTGCAAAAAATTAAAACGTTTTCCCCAAAATCTTACAAAAATTGCCCTACATACTTTCCAGAAACATTGCAATATTGACTTATCTCATCATATATCATGGTCAATCAATGGTTAGAGAAATTTATATAGGAGACTTGACCAATGGATGAATTCTGACATTTACTGAAAAAAAAAATCTGTGGAACCAGCTTGGTGGCTCACACCTGGAATCCGATAAATTTAGGAGGCACAGCAGGGCAGATCCCTTGACCTCAGGCATTCAGGACCAGCCTGGGCAACATGGTGAAACCCTGCCACTGCTGAAAACACAATAGTTTGCCAGATGTGGTGGTGCCCACTGGGGATCCCAGCTGATTGGGAGGCTGAGGCACCAGTACCAGGGTACTCCCTGCTCTGGATGGTGCTACTTACACATACCACAGGCTCTATTAGGAATAGGGTCCCCTTTAAGCTCCCCACAGTCAGAACTGTGTGCTATCGTCGTGTTTCCCCCAGTGTCCTCAGAACACAGCTTTGCCTACTGGAGCGCAGCAGGAACCGGAACTGAATGGAAGTTCAGTAGCCTCAGACATTTAGACCAGCAGACTAGATGCTACTTCTCTGTAGGATCTTATATGGTACAGAGAGGATTCCTGCAAACATGGATTTAGCCTCTTACTGAGAAAAACAGATGGTTCTGTGCCTGTGTCAGAAATCAATAGCTGGGACTGTAACCCCAGTCCCACACCCACCTTACTGCAGATGTGGAAATGTTGCTAAACACTTTGGACTCTGTCTTCCATCTTTGCCAAAATGTTAAAATACCCATTTCTATTTTCTGCAAGTATGTGCAGAAAATATTAATTTCGATGAAGAGAACTGTTAGTCTCTCAAGACAACACAGGACATCATTGATCACTTTCGTGGTGGTCAACCTATAGAACTTACTGTATGTCTTCTCCCGGTAGTTCAGGAAGTAGGCCACCTGGCTCAGAAGAAGTCTATTTTTGTTGGCTCCGACATTCGGTTTGTTTTCTTCCTGTTGGGAGCAGGATTTCTCAATGCCTTCTGGAATGTTCACCTCTGTGTTTTTTCTGGAAGAAGGCCTGCCAGATGCCACCATGTTGACGTTTCGGGCACGACACAGAAAGCCAGGGACTGGGGAGAAGAAACCCAAACACATGATGGGTTAGAAACTGGTGACGTCAAATTTGTTTAATCGGGACTGAGGGACGTCACTGACAGCCTTGGCTACTGAGTTGAAGATGTTGTTTTTCTGCTTTTACTCTTCTCACCTCCTCTCTCGATCTCCTTAAAGCAACTTGTCTTAGCTACTCAGTCACCCTGAAACCTGGAAATAAACACTTCTACGTTTATCTGGCTTATAAGTTCTGCAGAATCTTATATGGTAGACAGGATTCCTGTCAACATGATTTAGCCTCTTGCTGAGAAAGACAGGTTCTTCTGTGCCTGTGTCAGGAATCAATAGCTGGGATGTTAACACTAGTCCCACACCCACCTTACTGCAGATGTGGAAAAGTTGCTAAATACTTGGCCCTCTGTCTTCTATCTATAACAAAATGTTAAAATACGCATTGCTGTTTTCCTAGAAGTATGGGAAGGATGAAATTAACTTTGAAGAAGAGAGTGTGTCATTTCTCAGAGACAAGACAGAACATCGTTCAGCACTTTTGTGATGGTGAACCTACAGAACTAACCTTCCGTCTTCAGCCGGCAGCCCAGGTAGTAGGCCACTTGACTCATAAGAAGTTTATTTTTGCTGTCTCTGTATATCTGTTCTTCATCATGATCTTTTCGATCTTCTGTAAACAAATTCAGAAGAGCAGGTCACATTAAGAAAATCGCACTTCACACAAGACCAAATCAGTGTTTGGTCATAGCACAAGGACTTAAAATATTCTCAGTGTAAGAATGTGATATTCTGGTGGGAATGTTCTAATGGGCCCTAGACTAAGTCACCCTAGAAGTAGACGAGCTGCTTTTCAGATCCATGGGAAAAACTCTCCCTCCTCTGGTAGATCTTAATCATGTATCCTCTGACCTAAGTCAGTGCAAATAATTACAACTTTTTGCCCAAAATCTTACACAAATTGCCCTAAATACTTTCCAGAAGTGTTGCTGCAATACTGATTTATCTCATCATATATTACTGTCAATGAATGGTTATAGAAATTTATATAGAAGACTAGACCGACGGATGAATTCTAACAACCTTTACTGAAAAAAGAATCTGTGGAACAGGCATGGTGGCTCACACCTAGAATACCAGCACATTAGGAGGCCCACGAAGAGATCCCTTGACCTCAGGAGTTCAAGAACAGCCTGGCCAACATGGTGGAACTCTGCCTCTACTAAATATACAGAAATTAGCCAGGTGCGGTGGTGCCCACCAGGGAACCCAGCTAATTGGGAGGCTGAGGCACCAGTACCAGGGTACTCCCTGCTCTTGATGGTGCCACATACACATACCACAGGTTCTATTAGGAGCAGGGTCCCCTTCGAGCTCCTCACAGCAGGTACTATGTGCCATCACTGTGTTTCCCCCAGGGTCCCCAGAACACAGCTTTGCCTACTGGGCCTCAGCAGAAACCGGAACCTAATGAAAGTTCAGTAGCCTCAGACATTTAGAACAGCAGACTGGATGCTACTTGTCTGCAGGATCTTATATGGTACAGAGAGGATTCATGTAAACATGATTTAGCCTTTTGCTGAGAAAAACTGGTGGTTCTGTGCCTGTGTCAGAAATCAATAGCTGGGATTGTAACCCCAGTCCCTCACCCACCTTACTGCAGATGTGGAAAAGTTGCTTAATACTTTGGCCTCTGTCTTCCATATTTAACTAAATGTTAAAATACCCATTTCTATTTTCTACAAGTATGGGAAGGATGAAATTAACTTTGATGAAGAGAACGGTTAGTTTCTTGAGACAAGACAGGACATCACTCATCAGTTTCATGGTGGTCAACCTATAGAACTTACTGTATGTCTTCAGCTGGTAGTTCCGCAAGTAGGCCACCTGGCTCATAAGAAGTCTATATTTGCTGTCTCTGAAATTGGGTTTGGTCTCTTCCTGCTGGGAGCAGGAATTCTCGATGATATCAGGAAAGTTCACCGCTGTGGTTTTCCTGGA